GGGTATTAGTTTGCTAGGGCTACCACAACCGAATACCATTGACTGGGTGGCTTAAACAACAGAAATTTACTTTCTCCCCGTTCCAGAGGCTGGAAGTCCAAGATCAAGGTGCTGGCAGAGTTGATGTCTCCTGAGGCCTCTCCTTGGCTGGCAGGTGGCCCCCTTCTCACTGTGTCCTCACACGGCCTTTTCTCTGCATGCCTTCCTTCTTGGTGTCTCTTCTCTTCTTATAAGGTCACAAGACCTCCTTTAACCTTAAGTGCCTCTTTAAAGGCCCTGTCATGAAGTATAGTCACACTGGGGAGGGGCGGGTTAGGGCTTCAACACATGAATGCTGGGGGACGCAATTCAGTCCGTAACAGTAAGGCTCTTGGTACAGCTTCTGGCTGACCAAAAGAAACTGGATATATGTCCCTTCAATTTAAAAGAATCATAGGGGCCGGCCCCGTGGCATAGCGGTGAGGTGCATGCACTCTGCTGCTGGCGGCCTGGGTTTGGATCCCGGGCGCGCACCGACGCACCGCTTGTCAGGCCATGCTGTGGCGGTGTCCCATATAAAGTAGAGGAAGATGGGCACGGATGTTAACCCAGGGCCAGTCTTCCTCAGCCAAAAGGGGAGGATTGGCATGGATGTTAGCTCAGAGCTGATCTTCCTCACAAAAAAAAATAAATAAAAAAGAAAAGAATCATAAACCTCAAAGGAGAAGTTAAAATTCAATCAGTTAGCATTGTGGCCCTTGAAGCTCTGGATAAACTCTCAAAGAAACCCTTTCCAAGATTTTGGAATTGCATATGTGTATTAGCATTAGTGTGTGTGTGTTTATGATGAAGTGGATAAAAATGAGAGAGAACAGTTTCCCTTGTGGACCCAGTTGTTGAAAGGAGTTTCTCTTCCCCTGCTTGTGGTGAAGTTGCTCTTCAGTGAAACCAGCTAAAGGGACTCATTAGTTTCCTCCCAGCAGGACTCCTGGGGCCTGGCTGTGAGTGTGGTTCAAGGTGGGAGGAGAGCTCTTGGGGAGCCCCCTTTGGGCTGCCCCAGGTCCTGTCCTTGGGGACCAGCCCGGAGTTGCAGAAGAGGTGACTAAGGGGCCAGCCTGGTGACACAGTGGTTAAGTTCGTGCACTCTGCTTTGGCAGCCCAGGGTTTGCAGGTTCGGATCCTGGGCATAGACCTACGCACCACTCATCAAGCCATGCTGTGGCAAGCGTCCTACATATAAAGTAGAAGAAGATGGGCATGGATGTTAGCCCAGGGCCAATCTTCCTCAGCAAAAAGAGGAGGATTGGCAACAGATGTTAGCTCAGGGCTAATCTTCCTCACTAAAAGAAAAAAGAAGAGGTGACTAAGACTTCCTTCAATTAGATGTTTCTGGGTAGGTGAGGCTCAGGTAGTGTCGCTTCTGGATCCTGAGGAGTGAGCCAGAGTCTTACCCTCTACAGGCAGAAGAGCATTTGCCTCTGAGGTCTTTCATTTTCTAGTGACTGAAAGCCCTTGTCAAGTGAGAGCAGTGCTGAGAAGACAAGGAAAAGGGCTCCTTCTCCAGGTTTTTTTTCTTTTTCTTTTTCCAGTAAGGGAAAGGATTTGTCTAGTGCTTAATTCAGCTAATTCGTACTGAGTCCCACAGGGAAGGTTGAGGTTCTCCTGCGGTGGGGTGTGTGTGAACACACAGAGAGCTGACAGCAGATCCCTGGGCCAGAGCAGATGCAGCCTTCAGTCTCCTCACCCCTCTCCTGGCCTGTTTGATCACATTTTAACTTCCCCTTTGAGATTTGTCATCTTTTAAATTGAAGGGACAAATATCCAGGGAGAACAGTCTCTTTTGGTCTGTCAGAAGCTGACCTTCCCATTCTTTATTCTTTCTTCTGTTCATTCGACAAATAGCTGTGGAGAGCCTGCTCTGTGCTGGGCACAGGTGCTGCAGACATCGTGAGCTCTCCCCAGGACAAGGCAGTAGAGTGGGCAGGGTACCGAGCAGGTAATTCCAGTATGTACAGCCCCCTTCTCACCTGGTCCGTTTCCCCAGCATTGTATTTAGGGTCTCAAAATTTCCTGTACAAGAAACCTTTAATGCCTGACATTTCTAAGTGAGGTGGCTAGTGTTCTCGCCTCCGTGGCTTAGCATCTCAAGGTATTTGGCATATTCAAATTCCTTTGACTGTTTTTCAGATTGAAAAGAATTGGCCTATGGAAAACCCCTCTGTGAATGGGTCCTTTCAGAGTTAGAAGTCAGTTCTGCCTCCACGTTCTGGGCTTGCCCTCACCTGGCTGCGGTTTCTCAGCCTCCCCTCGCTTCTCGAGTGGGTCCCAGCCTGCCCTCATTAGTGGTCTCTTGGACCCTCCTGGTTCTTCTTGTCCATCATACCCGTCCTGGCCACACCCAGCCTGCTCAGCCGGGGCCAGCCCGTATTGTGAGCTCTCGCAGCAATTCCCTGATTCCGTGATCTCGTCCGGTCTCTCACGCCTCTGCCTTTCTGCTCTTCCCATCTTACTAGTCCTTACCAGAGCACACCCGTCACTGCTCCTGTTAAAGGGTTCCAGCAAGCTTTCCAAGAAAAAATTCACATAACGGTGCCTGCTGAATGGCTTCCCCAAAAGTTTATTCTACTTGGCTTCAGCGCGGCCTTCAGTGCTGCTTTATAATCCTTCTGTTCACCTCATGTAGATTTCCTAACACTTTCACCACCGTGCCCAATCCACAGCTCTCTCAGGATCTTGCCTCCTAATTCCTGAGAAAATTGAGGCCATTTCACATGTTTCCTTGGTTTTCTCTTCCCCACTCAAAGTCTTGTATTTGTCTGACTTCACACTCTCTCTCATCATTTCTGTCTCCAAGAGTGTAGAATCCTTGCTTATTGCCAGACTCGCCTCTCCTGCTAAACTCTCCACCCCAGCCCTCCCCTCTCCTCACCAGGGACCTCCCTTGATGGATTTTCTCTGGGCTCTTGCATTTTCAGTGTCTCCCCTTTGCTCTCAAGCATGTTCTCCTCTCCTCTGTCTGAACCACCTGCCTTCACCCCGTTGCCCCCTCAGGCTGTCGCTCGGTTGTCTGTCTTCCCCCCACAGACACCGCAGACACACTTAGGTCGTGGGTGTGGTTTCCTGCCACTAGTCTTTTCCCCACCCCAGTCCATTCAGTGTGCTTCGGCTAGTGTGCTCTAGAAAATGCAGATCTGACCATGTCTTTCCCAGGCCTAAAATACTTCAATGACTCGCTTTTTAAAAAACATTTTTATTTGCCTTTGTTTTTTTTGTAACAGCTTTAAGGAGATCTAATTCGTATATCATATAATTCATCTGTTTAAAGTGTACAATTCAATGGTTTTTAGTATATTCACCAAGTTGTGCAACCATCACCACAGTTAATTTTAGAACATTTTCATCACCCCATAAAGAAGCCCTGTACCCCTTAGTCATCACCCCCCAGTTCCTCCATTCCCCCCAGCGCCTGGTAGCCACTTAATCCATTTTCTGTTTCTATTAATTTGCCTATTCTGGACATTTTATATAAATGGAATCGTGCGCTGTGTAATCTTTCGTGACTGGCTTCTTTTACTTAGCAGCGTGTCTTCGAGGGTCATCCGTGTTGTAGCACAGTGACTCCTGTTTGCTCTTTGGTTTAAACTCCCAGTGCATTTATAAGTCCTGCGTGATCTGAGGCCTCTGTACCTCTCCACTCTGATTTCTCCCTGCTCGTTACTTTGTGCTTTTGCTCCGGCTGAACTAAACTTACTCGGATGTGCTACAGTGTCCCCTGCCTGAAACAGCTTCCCTGTCCCCTTCATTTTGCCTGCTGACTCATGTCCTCAGGTCTCCTTCGTCTGTTGACTCAATGCTGTGTCCTTCGCCAAGCTCATTCGGATCCTCCGAGACTTCTTGGGTGCTGCCAGAGCCCACTGCACTTGGCTGATCACAGCGTTCGTCAGCCAGGACTGTAATCGCCGTTGACTTGACTGTGTCCACGTCTGGACCGTAGCTCTGGGGAGCAGAGTCAGCGTCCACCCCAGACTGGACACTCGGCCTGCACAGAGTAGGTGCTCACTGAGTCCTGACCCCGGACCTCCTTGCAAGAGAAATCGAGTCTGGCCTTCTCCTCTTCTTTGTGATCTGGGATCTTCCCTCCCCACTCCCTGAACTCCCAAAGGTCACCAGGCACTTTCTCCTCTTTCCCTCAGTCTTGCTGCAGCATTTGCCACTGTTAAGTCCCTCTGTGAGATCCTCTCCTCCTGTTTTGCCTGTGACATGACCCTGCCCTGCTTATGTAATGCTCTCTGTTCCTCTCCTCTGGCTCCTTGTCCTCTAGGCCCTTAAAGGTGGGTCTTCCCCCAGTTCTGCATTCAGACTTTTCTCTCTGCTCTGTGCTCTACTCCTGCAGCTTCACCTGTCACCTGTGTGCAGATCAGTGATTCCCAGTCTCTGTCGCCTGGATCCCTGTCTTGAGTCTCACACGTATTTCCAACAGTGTGGTGACATCCTTACCTGAGTACACCTCCAGTGCCTTGAAGCCCACCTGTCCAGAAGTCAGCTTACCATAGGTCACCATGGTTACTGTGGGTCGTGCGCTAGTTTGAGCACTAAGTACTCTAAGTACTTCCCACCTGTTGACTCTGAGCAGCGTCTTCCCACCTCATCCCCCTCCCCACTTAGTGCTTTCATCCAGTCCAGTTTGTAAACACAGATTGGATACCTATTGCTGTCAGATCATTTTTCTTAAGCACAGTTCTGGTCATTTTTTTCCTCAGCTCAAAACCCTCACGGCCCCCCCTGCCTATTAAATTGAGTAGAAACTCCTCAGCAGGTATCCCAGACCCCTGTAAAAAGGGCTTCAACTGCCCTTTCAACCTTTCGTCTTTCATTCCTAATATGCAGGCCAAATCCCCCACCTGTCACTCCTCTTGCTCACACTATGCCTGTGCTGCACAGTACAGTACCCATTAGCCACTGCAGCTGTTTAAAATTTAATTAATTAAAATTAAATAGAATTTAAAATCCAGTTGCTCAGTCACACTAGCCACATTTCAAGTGCTCAGTAACCACATGTGGCTGGTGGCTACTATTGGATAGCACAGATAAAGAACCTTTCCATCATCGCTGACAGTGCTTTTGGACAGCGCTGGTTTGTACCTTTTTGTTTCCATTCTTTCTGGCTAAACTGTCCCCTATGTCTTCCCATCCTCACCATCTCTTCTTGTAAAAACTTTCTCCCTCTACAAGGGCCTCTCAACTCAAATTCTGTCTCTTCCACACAACCTTCCTGATCATTCCTTTCTTAATGACCTGTCCCTCCTTCCCTTTAGAGCCTTGGTAGTATTTTGTCTGTTTTTTCTTTATGAAACCTAACCATTTTTTCCTCGTATCGTAGCCACTTGTCCTTTTCTTGTTTCCAGTACTGAACTGGAAGACTTTTTGAGGTAAAGACTACATTAATGATCTTATCCTGTGCACAGGACAGTGGGAGTTCAATAAACAGTTGTTGAGTTGACTACCTAGGAAAGAGAATGATTTTTCTTTTATTTCTGGAATCAGAAAGCACAGTGAACGTCTTGCCATTCTGTTCTTCTTTGCTTCCTTCCATAATCACACAGGCCTCTTCTGCGAGACCAGGCGAGAAGTGCAGCCCTGTCCTTTGTCCTGCCTGTGCAGGTGGCCCTGGCGGCACATTCCTTCCTAGAGCCAGTATCGCTGACCTCAGTGCCAAGGAGAGCGACTGGCTGCAGCATTCAAACAGGATCCTCTGGCCAGGGCTGTGGGGCAGCACGTAGGAGGAGGAATTCCGGGGAGGGAATAATGGATGGAAGACTGAGGGGCAGGCGGGGTGCGAACTACCGACCTTGGAGAAGTGGCTGCAGAAGAAATGACTGGAATGACAGAGGCTGACGGGTCAGGGAGGTGGTGAGGCTCAGATTTAAATTGCTTACAGGATGGGGAGATATCTGTTCACTTAGACCCTGGAGGAACTTTCTGGGTGGTTTGTCACTGCCTGACTGTGTCTGTTCATTGTGGCCTTTCACTTAGCCGAAAGTCACCTGCCGTGAAGGAGAGGATCTCACCCAAAACATCTGGCGGCAGGGTTTCCAGACACTTTAGGGACATTCAGACGTTGGCCTCTTTTCTCTGGTTTAGCCGCCCTTGGGTGCTACAGGAGTTGCTGGTTGTCCATTCCTTGACTATGGGGGGGATGCCCTGAAGCTGAGTGAGTGTGTGCGTGTGCGTGTGCACACGTGTGTTCTGCAGTGGGGTGGAAGCATAAGCTGTTAGAATAGGTTCACAAGCTCTTTGTCTTTGCAGGCTTGTTTTGCAGAGGGAGAAGCACTTCCATTATCTGAAAAGAGGCCTTCGACAGCTGACAGATGCCTATGAGGTAAACACGCTGCCCTGGAACTCTTCCTATCAAATATCAGCCAGATCTTTCTCCTTTTTTCTGTTTGAATGTAGAAGTCTTATGGGGCTGACCTGTAGCAGCTTCTCCTTGTACCATGTGGCTCTGGCAGGAACCAGGTACACGGGAGCCGGGTCCTGCGGAGCTGGGACTCCCGCTTCTGAAAGGGCAGAAGCGGATCCCTTCCAGTGTTGCTCTCCCTCAGAGCCAATGGAGCACCATAGACGGCGGGGGCTAGCGGGGTGGGCTTTTTTCCACTAGACCAACAGCTGAGGGCTCCCTGTGCTTTCTTCTAGACAACCCTTGACAGCTCACTAAAAGGCAGTTACTTGTCTATCCCTAACCCTTTGCTCTGTAAGCTGATCTAATTTCTGTACTGGCTAGAGGATCAGTGTATAAATCCCAGAGAGTACTCCTACAGTTTAACACTGTAAAATGCCTGAACTTAGAGTGGATTGTAAAGCCTGTTCCTCAGAGCCCTTGGGTTCCACAGAGGGGCCTCGGGTGGGGGCAGTGGTGGAGGAGGGAGGGGGAAGGGGGTTGGGAATGGGGTTGAGTGGCAGGCAGAGTGTGACTGTGAACCCGAGGGCTCCAATCTTCCTGCCCCACTTGACACAGAGCAGCCCGGCTTTTAATGTGCTTTTGTTTTGGGGTTCTACATTTGGTTATTCGTGGCAGGGATTGGCCAACTCAAATGCCTGTAGACCCAAGCAACATAAATAAGAAAAGTGGGCTGAGGGCAGACTGAGGCACACTGGAGGCCCCCTGCTTTCATTCGGTTCCTGCCAGTTGCTGCCATCCAGGAATACAGACCCAGGCTTGCCAGATCTCTCTCTCTCTCTTTTTTTTTTTTCTTCAAATGAAGCCAGGAATCCACATTTTTATGTGAATCTCTCAATGCTTAAATGTTGAAACCAAGGCCAGTTAAACAAGCAAAACATTACAAGGAACAAGCAGAACACATCCACGGGCTAGATTTGGCCTTGGGCTCAAAGTTTTCAATCCTTGACTCAAGTTCTCAATGGTTAGAGTCCAGTCAGCCCTGATACGATTAATGCCATACCAGCTGACAATTTCTTGAACAGCGTGGGAAAGCTTACCAGGCGTTATCTCATTTAATCCTCACAACTACTCCATGAGGTAGCTGTGTCTTTATCTTTTACAGATAAGGAAACAAGCATAGCAAGATGAAGTAATTTGCTCAAATGCACATAGCTATTAAGAGGAGGAGCTAGGACTCAAAAGCAGGCAGGCCAAATCCACAGCAGTGTCTCCGGTCAACACACCACTGCCCCCCAGGTGGCAAGCTAGCCATAGCACATTTATGAAGAGGGCAGCTTGTGCCAATGGAAAGAGCGCTGGATTGGGAGTCCAGAAATCTGGGTTCTTGTTGTCAGCTCTGACATTTACTGTCTTTGTAATCTGGAAAAAGTTCATCTCTCTGGACCTCATTTATATACTTTTAATCTGTAAAACTAGGGCAGTAATACTACTTGCCCGCCTAGCCTTGAATGCTCCATACATGTTTATGGCTTCAGTTAGGATCAAGATCTGTTCACATGTCACCTTTGGGAGCCTTTCCCAGCCCCCCAGGCAGAATTAGTCAGTCTTTGCCATGTGCTCCTTTAGGACTCTAGTTCTGCCCATTACAGCATTTATCCAGGTATATATATGCATATGTTCCGCCTTGTTCCAGAAAGACATAAGGTAACTTGTGCTTATGTGTCTAGTGCCTTCTTCCTCTACAGATAACCACATACATTCTGTATGCCAAGCATGTCAAGAATAGGAATGGAATTTTATTCATTATCGTGCCCCTAGTATCTAAGACAGTGCTTAGCACAAGTAGATACAAAATATTTGTTGATTCAATGAAGGAATTAATCCAGGAAATCCCTTCTTGAGATTCGATATCTCCTTGGGTCTACACTGAGAAAATAGCAGCACTTAACTTCCTGGCATGTGGGAAGTCCTCATCTCAGCCTCCCTTAGACGCCTGTCAGGGAGGGACCCATTGGGTTCAAGGTAAACTTCTTTGTCCCATCGTCCTTTTCTCACATATGGTCATTTCAGCTCCTGGCTAAGGCCACAAAGCAAAATGTCCTTCATTCACTGATTGTTCATAGGGTGCCCTCCCCCCTTGCCAGGCTGCCGAGAGGGAGACAGATGTTGCCTTGTCAGTAGTGTCTTGGAATGATTCTGAATAAGGGGTGTGTTTTCTCCCCTGTCCCTTCTCAGTGTCTGGATGCCAGCCGCCCATGGCTCTGCTATTGGATCCTGCACAGCTTGGAACTGCTAGATGAGCCCATCCCCCAGATGGTGGCGACTGAGTGAGTCTGGCTTCGGGGCATCTGGGGTGTTCTCTGAAATTGTATTTTGAGTTTGGGGTTCTTTTTGTTTTGTTTCTGTTTTATTTGTTTTGAATGGAAAACACAGGGTGCTACAAAGAAGCACTTGCCCTTCTCTTGACCTCCAGTAACTTCCTGAAACTCCTCCACTTTAGAAGCCTCTTGTAAGCTCATGGGTAGAACAAGACTTTGAACTCCCAAGAGAAGTTCTTCTTCTATAGCCTTTTCTTTTGGCTTTTGCTCTGGTCTTTGAGAAAAGTCTTTATCATCAACTCTGAGAGACACGATTTTGCCAGAAAGTACAGTATGCATTTGAATAGCTTCTGTGGGGAGGCATGTGCCAACCCAATGAACAAAAATGTCTTTGCCTTCCATAAACACCTCCACAGAAGTCCCTCCCCCAGTGCTGGGGGACAGTTAGCTCTTGATGGCACTGGAAGTGTTCCCATCTTGGTGTGCAAATGCCGTGACTCACAATTTTCTCAAACTTCTGATTTATGATTGGAGATCTAAGCAACTGAGATTCTTCCCAAACTGCTGGTTCAGATGGTGTTCTCAGTGTGGCACCTCACCCTTAGAAGCTCATCACAGTTTATATTTTAAAGAAGACGACACTGATCATCACTCCAGTCTTAGGGATACGTGGGGTAGGAAAGGGCGGCCAGGAATTGGATATAACGCCCCAGTTCTCACCGAGAGAGAGTGTGTCCCCACAGCAGCATCTTGAGTTCATCTGCTCCCTGGTGCTCCTGAGGGAGGGGAGGCCCCTGAGCCAGGTTCGTTTTTCCGCAGCCCCCAGGGGCAGCTGTGCCAGGAGGCGAGGAGGCTAGCCTGTGCCCCTCCCTGGTCACAGAGCCCCTGCCTGGGTCACATCGTCAGGTCAGAAGAACAGAACTGCGCATTGTCTCATTCATTCTGTCTTAATAATAACCTCTCATTCTTGCCTTCCTGGGCAGGGTGTCTTGTGATGAATGTGGAGAGGGAAGATAATGAAGATTAGGCCATTAACCCTCGTGATGCGTCGATGCTTTCTGAGGGAGAGGGAAATATGCACTGTCTTCCTCATCATGATACTGCTGCAAACCTAGTTTCTTCTAGCTCTGGAAGTAAAGTCAGACACAGTTTCTGCAATAACAGGAATTTAGTTGTCAGAGTAAAGGCCCATGTGTTTTGTTTGTTTGTTTTTTATGAGGAAGGTCAGCCCTGAGCTAACATCCGTGGCCAATCCTCCTCTTTTTGCTGAGGAAGACTGGCCCTGGGCTAACATCCGTGCCCATCTTCCTCTACTTTATATGGGACGCTGCCATAGCATGGCTTGACAAGCGGTGCGTAGGTCTGTGCCTGGAATCCAAACCCGTGAACCTTGGGCTGCCAAAGTGGAGCGTGTGAACTTAACCGCTATACCACCGGGCCGGCCCCCAAGGCCCATTTGTTTTTGAAATACCAGTTGGGGGTTGTGGATTGTTTGGGAAGTTTCTCCCCGACACATACACAGTCAGGATGTACGCTAGGAGAATGGGAAAGTCATAAAGGAGAGAAGGAAGAAGAAATAGGAGGTCCTGTGAGAGTGAGGTACAGCTGCCCCTAGAGGAGGACATAGACTGATTTGAAGAGGAAAGAGTGATAAGGGGGTTCCTGAGATGGAAGAAATTGGGTCAGCATCGGTTTTGAGTTTTTTCTAGGTTGTATGCTTGGTGTTTTATAGATAAGACTTTGCTGAGAAAATAAGTGTGGAAACACCAGATAAGAAGAGAGAACCCCTTGGGGCTTTTCACACTGAACAATTGGAGACAACCTAAATATCAACAGTAGGGGATGCTTTAAAGTGTGTTTAAAATTTAAGTAGAGTATGCAGTACATACAATGAAATACTATGCAGCCATTTAAAAATTGAAAAGTTAACTAGACTTATTGTCAGTCATTTCACACTATATACAAATATCAAATCATTATGTTGTACACCTGAAACTCATATAATGGTATATGTCAATTATACCTCAATAAAAACATTTGTATATGTAAATGTGTATATTTGTATATAAAAATGTATATTTATAGAGAGATGTTCATGATTTAAGTGAAAAAAACTTAGTTTTAAAAATGCAACTTTTATAGATAAAAATATAGATGGTTATACGCATAGAAAAAAACCGGAAGGATATATGTGCACATAGTAGTAGTTATTTCTGGATGGTGGGGTTAAAGATTTTTTTCTTTTCTAAGCTTATTTGTGTTTTCTAAAATTTCTACGATGAACTTTTATTGTTTTGTAATTAAAAGAGTGTTTTAAAACTAAGAAGCTGATTTGTCCTAATTTCAAGAACCACTTGATAGTTAATGACTAAGAATTTCTGCTTCACAGCTGCCTTAAAAGCTTTACCTGTGGTTCTTCTGAGCATTGATTTTACAAACTTTTAAAGAATTTCTTAGACTTTCCAATAATGTATTTTCTTTTGTGTCTAGCAGGCAGTTAATTCTAGGTGCAGATAATATTTGTTATGCACAGAGCCTCGTAGCTCTGACCTCTAGGGAAATAAGCTATTTTTAGTAAGATATAGAAAAATCTTAATTACTTCTGTAAAAATGTGGGGATTCTTTTTTGGACTACCTGATATAGGGTATTGCCTTTTTATTTATTTTGCACGGGGAAAAGAAATGCTTTGAAAATGTGGTCAGGTTTTTTTTTTCTCTTCTTTTTTATATACAAATATTAAGGTGATCCAGAGGCAGAGTTTAGCTCTGGAGTTTTATTATTTTTCTGCCTGTTCTTTCGCCACGCCCTTACCTAGTGCGCCACACACACACGTTTCTCTTGCTTTCCTATTTGGTTCATGTTTGTGCTTCTGTTTGTTTAGTGAATAGTATGACAAGCTGAGTTCCCTCTAGTGGACAAAATCATTTTTGTCAGCTACTGTGACTGCTGGTATCAGGCCTTTCAAGAATAATATATTCATAAGTAGGAATTGAGCTTGCCTCTCTTAAGAGATTGTATCCACAAGTTATACGTGTGTTTACCTAAAATAAATTAATATTTTGAAACTAGACTAAGTACGTTTGCTTTGTTAGTGATTTTAGCACTGAGAGTCCCATGCGTGTGTTATTCATAACAGGCTGTGTTATGAAAGTTACAGGGAGACCACTGCACGGTTAAGTTAGGTTTTTAGCTTCTGTAAGATCTAAAAATTGTCTTTCACTTAAAAATTGTTTTAGGACTTTTCTGCTTATAAAGTTTTTCCAAAGATTAGATTTAAATTTTCATGTGTCAGTGTTTTATTATTTCTCTTTCAAAAGGTTATTAGTAGCTTGTCCCCTGAATAGCTCCTTAAATGTTTTTCCTTTTAATTTTCTTTTTTTTTTTTTTGGTGAGGAAGATTCACCCTGAGCTAACACCTGTTGCCAGTCTTCCTCTTTTTGCTTGAGGAACATTGTCACTGAGCTAACATCTATGCCAGTCTTCCTCTATTTTGTATATAGGACACTGCCACAGCATGGCTTGATGAGCAATGTGTAGGTCTGTGCCCGAGATCCAAACCCGGGACACCAAAGCAGAGTGCGCGAACTTAACTACTACACCACGGGGCTGGCCTCTCACTTTTAATTTTTAAATTTAGATATAATTTGTCTGTTTCCTTACTTTTCAATGAGGATACCATATGTAGTCACTTGTCTTCTGGGCATTTTTTGGCCAGGTGCTGCTGGCATCTAGTGGATGGAGGTCAGGATGCTGCTGACTAATGTCCTGCACAGGACAGTCCCCACAACAAGGAATTATCCAGCCCAAAATGTCAGTAGTGCCAAGGTGGAGAAACCCCGCTCTAAAATAAGCAACTTTAGACTTGACCATACTTCCAAAACAGCGGCATCCAGAGGATTGCCGGCACCTGGTGAAGAGTCAAACAACCTGTCACACTCCACACACAGGCAGCACGGCCTCCTGGAATCAGCAGGGGAGCCTGCCCATTTTTCACCTGTTCGTTGCTGTCCTCTGCTGGGGAAGGAGATTTTCTCTCCCTCGTATTAGCCTGACATCAGCCCGTTCACCTTGCCTTCGCATCTACTCCTAAGCCGTTCTGCTCAAGCATGACTGCTCCTGTTTCCAAAGCTATGATCTTTTTTTTGTTGTCTAAAGATAGCCTGGGTGAGAATTAGGCAGTGTCATCCCCTTTATTTTTTATTTATTTATTTTTTTGAGGAAGATTGGCCATGAGCTAACATCTGTTGCCAATCTTCCTTCTTTTTTTCCCTTTTTCTCCCCAAAGCCCCAGTGGATAGTTGTATGTCATAGCTGTACATCCTTCTAGTTGCTCTGTGGCTTGATGAGCGGTGTGCAGGTCTGCGCCCAAGATCCAAACCGGCAAACCCCAGGCCACCGAAGTGGAGCATTCAAACTTAACCACTAGCCACTGGGCTGGCCCCCAAAGCTATGATCTTTGTAACTTATTCTAGGCCTTAAGTCTGTCTGTGGGAACCTGTTCGGGTGAAGAAGTTTTTCTTGTGTGTGTGTGAGGAAGGTCAGCCCTGAGCTAACATCCGTGGCCAATCCTCCTCTTTTTGCTGAGGAAGATTGGCCCTGGCCTAACATCCATGCCCATCTTCCTCTACTTTATATGCGATGCCTCCACAGCATGACTTGACAAGCAGTGCGTTGGTACGCGCCCGGGATCCGAATCTGTGAACCCTGGGCTGCCGCAGCGGAGCGCGCGCATTTAACCACTGCGCCACCAGGCTGGCCCCTGAAGTTTTTCTTAAATCTAGTCTAAATTCTTCTTGCTGCAGATTAGCTTCAATTTTTGTTTATTTACCAGAAAGTCTGTATAATCACCCTTTGTACACTTGAGGTATTTTGCTGGGTAGCTTCCTCACTGTGGTTGCCTGTAGTATTAAGCTTTTTAATAATTTTTATATTTAGCCATTTTTGTAACTCGAATCTGAACTTCCTTTGAGTTGGAAAACGGAGGCTTGAGCCAGATACAGTTCTGACACTGTTCACGATGCTGCCAACAAGCATTTTTGTTATTGTTGTTCACAACTCGTCGACCCTACCCGCTTGTCCTTTTTCTCCTATATTCCTAGTCATTTCCCATCTTATATGCTTCCTCACCCACCACTCCTGCCGTCCCTAAGTGTAACACTTGCTACTTGTACCTATTTCATTTGTTTTATTCTTATTGGCTTCTGATTTATTTTATATTATTCTGGACTTGAATTCTCACCTTGGAGATGTTTGCCTGCTTGTTCTGTATTATTTGCTTATTCACTGTACATGCTTTTGAGTCCTTGATCCGAGTTGGTGACAGTGATGTCCAGAGTCAGCCACCTTAGTCATCCTCAGCCATCACCTAAAAGTCCGAGTAAACTCCGTACAAGGCTGAAGGTAAATCCTTGATCCTCTTGCTTTGAACTTGATCCAATTACAAGTTTTATGTACTCTTTAATGGTTGAATGATAGAGCAGTGGTGTCCAATAGAACTTTCCACAATAATGGAAGTCTTCTATGTTTTGTGGTAGCGACTAGCAACATGCAGCTAATGAGCAATTGCAGTGTGGAGCTAAATTTTAAATGTAAATTTAATTAAATTTATTAATTTACATTTAAAATTTAAAGAGCCTCGTGGGGCTAGTGGCTCTCTGTTGGACAGGCAGGTCTATTGCGTTGCTACCCAAAATGTGGTCCCCAGACCAGTGGCATTGGTATCACCTGGGAGCTTGCTAGAAATGCAGAATCTCAGGCCCATCCAGCTCTACTGAATTAGATCTGCATTTTAACAAGATCCCCAGCTGATTTCTATGCACACTCAAGTTTGAGAAGCACGACACTTGGCTGTACATTGGAGTCACATGGGGAGTTTTAAAAAATATCCCCGCCTGGGTCCCACCCTGAGTGATTCTGATTTAATTCATATTAGATGTGGCCTGGCATTGGGATTTTTTTTTTTTTAAATATCCCCCAAGTGATTCTAATTGTGCACCCAAAATTTATGGTACTCAGACTGTGTGTGTGTGTATCCAAATCACCTGGGAATTTGGTGAAAAAAATATAGAGGCCCAGGCTCTTATCCTGCTTCAGCAAGCCTGGGTCTCTATTCTTTATTAGCTCTCCAGTGATTCTGATACACACATTTTGGGTTTGAAAATCCCTGATCTAGGAGGTAGTTTCCCACTTTGCTGGTAACTGTCACGTAAGCTAGAATGAAATGCCTTGCTGACTTGCAGGAAAACTGATCTACTAGATCATTTAGTCATATGACTAAACTAATGATTTATGAATACTTGTTTTTCACAAAGTGTGTTACTCTTGGTGTTTGCACAATGTTTCCTGCTTGTGATTTTTTTTTATTAGTTGGTGACTTTCTGGTCTCTAAGATAAGTTTTTCTCCCCCTTTTGATAGGTAGAAGTATCATTCACATTTTGGTTTTCACAATTGCTGGGAATTCTGTTGATGACACCTGGTAGCTTTGTGGTCACTTTGCCAGTTCCTTAAGGTGCAAGTTCTTGGAAGCCCTCTGGATCAGAATGTTCTGTAATACGGAAGTGTGTGACAGTCAAGAGAAGCCCAACCCCTAATTCCCCAGCATAGTCCCACAGACAGACAGATAGCTGTCAGCTGAGGGAGGTTGGCGTGGAGGAATGATTTAAAGGTATCTGGTACATTCAGATCCCAGCTCATTCCAGACTGTAGGCTACAGGAGTGTTGCATTTGACTTGATTCTATCCTGGGAGTCGGGAAAGGGAATGGATAACTAGGTGACTCTCTTTTCTTTTCTTTAATGTGCTGTTAAGTTTTCTATCAGCTAAAAGCTTTTGTTTTTGTGATATAGAAACCTTTTTGTATGCTAGTGCAGCCAACTTTTGTTAGGACATGAGTTTAGTAGCTATTTCTTTCTTGGTAGTGTAATAAGAAGTGATGAAGATTTGGAAAATATGTTAGAAACAAACTCATTTTCTCTGAAAATTAATTGCTATTAAAAACATGCCACAAAACTGTCTCTCTTTGATTATCACCTTTGGTTTCAATCCTTGTGTTTCCTACAGTAAAATTTTAGGTGCAAATAGAAGTGAATGTGTATTGTTTTTAAACCGTGACAATTTCAGGACTCCAATAGCAAGTCAGCAGCATATTCTATCACTGTTCCTGCCCAGATAATGGAAGATCTGAAATCAAAAGTAATCAAATATGTTGTGGACAAGCAGTAATAAACTTGTGTCTGAGTGGAGATTGACTGGACTCTGTGGTCTCTCTGGTGGCAGTAGATGAGAAACAATGAGGTGAAAGAGCCCAGGAAGAGAAGGCTGTCTGAGCACTGGAAGGGCACAGATTTGCAGTTTCTTCTCTTAAACGGAGGCTTGTCCTCATAGGAAGCCTGTGATTCTGGCTGAGTCACGGGGAAACAGCTTGACCATCAGAACTTTCCTGGGCACCCCTTTCTGGTGAACTTCAGAGGATCTTGGACAAATAGGGGCTCTCTTGGTTTCCCCTGAGGCAAGAATGTAATGTCTGGGTAAACTGATGCCGTGCTTGGAGGCAGGGGCTTGAAGGCAAACCCTCCCTAAACAGTCTCCCTCAGTGAGAGAACTGGAGCATCAGTCGATTAGTGTGAAAAATTCTCCAAGAACCCACAGACTGTGATGCATTCTTGTGATACGAGTCAGCAGTGCTTAAGTTTGCCATCATTGAAGTGAGCGTGTTAGAAGCCTCTCTCTCTTTCATTCTCCTAAGCATGGAGGCAGACTCTGTTAAAAGCTTGTATTTGTCAGTTGTAGGAATAAAAATCAGCAGCGCAGGGGCTTTGGTGGCAGTGGGAGTGGGAGGACATCTCTCTAAATATTCTTGGCAGGCCTTGGTGATGGATCTAGACCAGGGTGGTTAGTGTAGAAAGAAGCAATTGGGCACCACCACAACTGTAAGCAGAATTTTGGGAGGTGCCCCAAAGGCAAGGAGAAAGAGGCCAGTACCACAGATCCAAGGTGGCAAATTGAGTGAAAGTATGGAAAAGATTGATCAAGAAGCATGAGCCTTACCCTCAGTTCTATGAAAGGCTATTTGTTTCTGCCCGGCATTATGTTCCTCGCTTCACCACTAGGCAAATGCTTAAATATAAAACTCATAGGAGGGTGTACAGTACTGATGAGTATAGTATAGTAGAGAGTTAGGCCCTTTGCAGGGGTTAACTATATTCAATGTATATTCAGTAGGTGGAAGGAAAGGTTTTTTTCGCTTTTGAGGGAGACAGGAACATTGGAAAGGCACGGACTCTGGTGGAATTCAGTGTTTTGACATTAATGCTCTCTGACTTTGTTTTTCCCGTTGGCTGTGTGCCTAGTGTGTGTCAGTTCCTGGAGCTGTGTCAAAGCCCAGAAGGTGGCTTTGGAGGCGGCCCTGGCCAGTACCCACACCTTGCACCCACATATGCTGCAGTCAATGCGCTGTGCATCATCGGCACTGAGGAGGCCTATGACGTCATCAACAGGTACAGCCAAAGCCAACAGTGAGGAAACCCGGGAGGGCTCCCTGCCTGCTGACCCTGCTCTGACCCTTGCCATCTCCTGCCTCTCTCCCATTCGTTTCTCAGAGAGAAGCTTCTTCAGTACTTGTACTCGCTGAAGCAACCTGATGGCTCTTTTCTCATGCACGTTGGAGGTGAGGTGGATGTGAGGTGAGTGGGTTTTTTTCAGGTTGCTGCATCAGTAGATTCTAGAGCTTATCTGCCATTAGAGATGCCAGACTCAAGGAACACCACGGGGAACCCGCTGCTTCATCATGCAGAATAACACGCAGAATGACATCTCAGTGACACAGTGTCATAATCACTGCAGATAGGAGACAGACGTCCTCAGGTGTCATTATCACTTGCCTTCTTTTATATAAATGTCAAAGTATAAGTAAGACAGAGGCAAAATCAAATGCTTTTCTTTTAAAAATTAAAAATGTATTTGGTATAAAATGATATCCCATAATATATAATAACTGTATAGTGTAATATAATCTTTCATCTCTGGGATAGGAAGGGAGAAGAAAGCCCAGTAGGGACTCAGTAAATGTCATCTGAATGAATTTGATGAAATCATGAGAACGTTGAACACCTGCCTGACTATTGCTTTAGGAGGTGCAGGAACCCTTAGGGGTCAGTGGGATGCAGTGAAATAGAGTTGCATTAATTGACTGGAACCAGTTGTCTTGAAATTATTATTTTACTCCAGAATTGTCTGATATACCTAGCAAGTAGCTGACTCACCTGATGGAGATTGCTTATGAAGCTTGTAGGGAATTCACTAAGTCTCTTCTCAAAGGCAGTGGATCATTGAGATTTTATACCCAATTCTTATTATTCAGTCTGAGAAATACATTTTTATATGAGGTTTCGATAGCAAAGCCATCTTACTGCCTATTTGTAAATGTGTTTGCTTCTACACAAGTTGATTAATATTCTGGCTTAACTATTCATTTGACAGTATAGGGAAGAAAAAAACATGAAAGTTTTAGAGCATAAAACACATTGCACATAAAAGGAGGTAACCAGGTTGTAAAGGCCTTCATAAAGAATTTTCTTCTATCTGTAACCTGTCTGTTCAAAAAAAATTGGCTAGGTATCTACCAGAAAAACTGTTTCTCTACTCACAACATTTCTGACACCCAACATGTGGTTTTCTCCCTCATAGTAAACAATTCTGACATTAACTACCCACAGTTAGCACAGACCCCACAGGCGAAGGGCTCAGTCCCATAAGACTGCCCCCCACTTTCAGACACCAGTCACAGTAGCGGGTCCCCAGGTGACTGACACTTCTGCCTGACTTGGCTACAAATCGGGGGTTCCCATGAGCCCCTCCACAGGTTCGATAATTTGCTTAGAACGGCTCACAGTACTCAGGGAAACACCTTACTTACTATTACGGGTTTTATTATAGAGGGTACAAATGAACAACCAGATGAAGAGGGCAAGATCTGGAAGGACCAGGAGCACAGGAACTTCTATTCCAGTGAAGATGGGGTGTGTCACCCTCTCAGCAAGCACATGGATGTGTTCTCCGACCCAGAAGCTCCCAAAACCCCTTCATTTAGGGTTTTTATGGAGGTTCTATTATGTAGGCATGATGATGAAATCATTGGCCCTTGGTGATTAACTCAGTCTCCAGCCCCTCTCCTGTGGAGAGTGGGGCCAAAAGTTCCAACCCTCTAATCACACGGTTGGTTCCTCTGGCAACCAGCCCCCATCCTCCAGGAGTCACCTCATTAGCATAACTCAGGTATGGTTGAATGGGGCTTGTTCTGAATAATAAATGACTCTCCTGTCACCCCCATCATTCAGGAAATTCCAAGGGTTTTAGAAGCTCTGTGCCAGGAACCAGGAAGAAGACCAAATATATATTTGTTATTAAATCACAATATTCCAGTATCTGTTGTTAAAAGATAAACTGAGACATATTAAAATTTTTAAGTTTATTTGAGCAGAAACCAATTCGAATTGGGCAGCATCCAATCTGGCAGATAGAAATGAGCTCTGAGGAGCTGTACAAACTGAGAGACTTTTATAGGCAGAAGGGAGCGGGACAAGGAAGTGATAGGAGGCCAAAATAGTAGGTTGGTTATTACAAGGTCACTTTCCTTTAGGGGACGGCGGGGGTCTGACAGGCAGATGACCTCACTAGTGCTGACCAGACAATTCCTGATTGACTGGTTTAAGATTCCATTTCTGGGAGAGCCGAACTGTAATTGTCTCGGTTTGGTGACTTGAAGCTTAGCATAAGTGACTCTATTTTGGGCCTGTTGTCTTGTTTTTAACACTGTATATGCCAGTGAAGCCAATATAACTATTGAGGAAAAGCAGTACTGTATTGATGCTTCTTATGGAAAAGGTTGAAAGATTTTTTTTCTCTTCACGGTCACTACATTTTCATTCATGTTCTATAGATATTCCAGCCAAATACACACAGTCTTGAAATTTAGCTTTTTAAAACTTTCTGAGATTATTAGGCAAAAACAAACAAAACCCTAGCAAGATTGCTTTGGCATTTTATCTCATACCTAGGTGACAGAGCGTAGAGTGTGTTCAGGAAAGGAGAAGTTCAGTGTCGCTGAAGTGTAGAGGGCCTCGGGGGCAGTGGGAGAAATGGAGCTGGAAGGACAGGCTGGGAACAGACTGAGGGGCCCTAAAGTCTTCTTAAGAAGTCTGGGGTTTATTTTAAGGGCAGTGGGAAGCCTCTAACAAGCTTTAAGTAGGGAGTGATGTGATCTGATTCGTATTTTATTAGAAGTTCTCCAGTGCAGTGAATAGATTGTAGTGTTTTAGTGAAAGTCCTCTGGTTTCAGGGCTGGAGGGAAGAAGACCAGACAGGAGATGGATCCAGGTCATGGTGACTTGAATTTGGGTGACAGCAGCAAGGATGGAGAGTAGTGGACAGATTGGAGAGACATGATGACTGGATGGAGGGAGAGAGGAAGAAACTGCACGAAAAAGGTGTATTTTGTTCCCTCCCTGTCTCAGTGAGAGATCTAGGACTAGTGGCTTCTGACGTCACGTCTCAGTTGTCCTGTTTGAGAGAGGCAGACGCCGTTGTTGGCTGCCTGCACACCTCAGAGGTTAGGTTAGGATTCGGGAGCAAATACTTTTGAACGCCTTTGAGAGGCTCAAGACCTGAAGGAAATTAGATCAGACCTTCGAAGTTAGCTTCTAGTAAATGATGACATTAGGCACGTAGGACTCTTGCGTGCTTCCGATGCCTGCTGGTGTAACTCAGCCTTTGCTGTGCCTTAGCCAGAGTGAGTAGGCTGATAAAATTGCTTGTAGGATAATAATGCTTGCAGCTTCTGCAGAGGTTTCTCTGGAATACCTCAGTCAGATTGGCTTAGTATTATGTCTATACCGAATAATATGGAAAGTAGACCTTTGTCTTTCCTCCCTATTGTATTCCTTAGGAGCCCTTAGAAAAAGGATTTGTCAGCAGAATTAGAACAAACAGTTTTTGTCTTCAACATAAAATGGAGCGGAGATGCTGGATATTTGAAAAGACTGTAGAAAGGAAGGAAAGACAGTTTGTAGATGTGTTCCATAATAGAGGGAGAAGCTGAAATAAAGTGTGTCCTGAGAAGAATTAGGGCTGGCAGGATGGAATGCAAGAATTATTCCACATGAAGTAGGATCACATTAAAAAAATAGACGTACTCTTTCGTTTAAAAGTGTGTGTGTGTGTGTGTACTGGGGGTGGAGGGGGGGGCTTGAAATCAAAGCGCTTTTCTCCCTCTAGAGGCCAAAGGAATGTACTGAGTGGGCCTGTCTATTCCTGTCCCTCTTGTCTGGTCTAGGCAGCCATGAGGGTTTGGTGGCCTACTTTGGAGTGCGTCTGTTGCAGAAAAAATATAGTTAACCTTTAATGTGTCCATGCCGTAAACAGATACAAATCCTGGCTCTAAAACAGTGCTGACATCTGAATGGATGAACCTATCACAAATACCTGGATGACTCCAGGGAGTTTGAGGAACCAGTATAGGTCTTTGAAAGAAGAGCTAAGTTCACTTTTGACACGAATTGATGTGGCCGTTATTTCCTCTGATGTAGATTTGACCACGTGGAGGTAGGGAGAAGAGAATGTCATGTTCTTTCACTGGAGCCATGCTGTGAGCAACTCTATCCAAACAGAATGTCCAGCCTCTCAGTGGGAGACCCGGAGGACTGACCGTGTGCCAGGAGTGAGGACGGGAGGGCAGTACAGCTTATTAGGCAGAGAGAGCAGTCCGCCCCAGAAGTCCAGGGAGCCTCATTTAGGCTCTTCCGTAAGGCTTAACACTTTTCCCCTCTATTTCTGTCCTTCCAGAAGTGCATACTGTGCCGCCTCGGTAGCTTCTCTGACCAACATCATCACTCCAGATCTCTTTGAGGGCACTGCTGAATGGATAGCAAGGTGAGAGAAGCTGGGGTTTGTCCTGGCCTCTGAGACAGCAGGTGGTCACGACTTCTGAAAAATAACGAAAATGGAAAAGGACCCAAATGTTAGAGTTGTAGATTGTGCATTTCAAGAATACTTTAAAAGTTTTCTTTTTCCCAAATTTTCCTTAATGTTGTATTATAGTTTAGATTGGCAAGGATCAAAAGCTTGGGTGAACAGTATTGGTGGGAGCCTAAATGGATTTGACCACGTGGGAGCAATTTGGTGATATCTGAGAGTTGCTCTTGCTGATGACCCAATAATTTCCACTCCTACAGAAACTCTCACACACTTGTATGAAAGAGACAAGCATAGGACTTGTGTATAAGAGCAAAAAGCTAGAAAGAGGTTAAATGTTCATAAGCACCAGATGGATAAGTAAGTTGAGGTATAGTCACATTGGAATATCACATAGTAGTTAAAATGAATGAACTAGAGCTACATGTATCAATATGGATAAATCTCAAAAACAGCGTTGAGTAAAAAAAAAAGGATGTTAAAGAAAACATGCAGATCAGCACGTTTACTTAAAATTTGCAAACATGCAAAACAATTCTTTGTTGTTCATGGGAAGAATCACATGTAGTAATACAAAAACACATGTGGGAAGGATAAACACCAAATTCAGGATGGTGGTTACTTTTGGGGGAGAGCACAAAGGAAATGAGATCAGGAGAGGTCTACGCATCTATGCAGGAGACTTCAACTGTGTCTCTAATTGTTCATTTCTGTAAAATAAAAAAAAGATCTGAAGTGTATATGGCTAAATCAAAGCTAGGTGTTAGATACATGTATGTTCTATATGTTATTTGCTATACTTTCCTGGATGCTTCAAATATTTCATAATTTAAAAAAAGAAAACAAAAGGTATAGCAGATATGTATGTACTATTATGGAATGATATCCAAGCTGTATTGTTTTTTTTTTTTTTACATTTTTATTTGTGTCAAAGTAGTACTTACTACTATGAAAATATAATTTACAGCTAAAGCAGATGATGTACTATGATCATATTTACCTTTTTGTATAACTCTTATTTTCCTGGAATTAATCACTACCTCTTTTTTTAAATGTATGTGAATTCATGAATTCATCCCCAAATTTTCTGCCAGAGCTATAAAAGTTACTCTCAATACAGTCAAACACTTCAGGGAATGTATCAGTTCTCGTGTGTGTGTGTGAGAGTGTGTGTGTGTGTGCATGTGTGGGTTGTGAGTTATCCCTCCTGGTGGCTTCTGCCCTCCTGCTGCAGTCTGGACAGATTGCTCTCACTTGCTGCACAGCAGGCATCCAGAAGCTTCCTTTCAGCATGAAATTCACTTCATTTCTCTCCTTTGTTGAAGCCCCTGTCCTCCTTTTTCTTGGTTTACTTACTCATTTTAATGAAGCACATACTCCAATAGATCCCAAAAAAGGGCACTTGGGAAATACATTTTTAAGATTTTGCATATATCTTTTTTCTAGTCTCACACTTGACTGATAGTTTATTTGGTTAGACATTTCTAAATTGGAAAACTGTATAAATCGTATACCTTCAGAATTTTTAAGTGTTGCTTCATTATCTTCTGGCTTCTGGTGTCATTGTTAAACAGGCTGGTAATAATAATAACCAGCATTTACTGAGGACTTGGTGTGTGATACTCAATAGTAAGGTAACTATATAGTTTAGAGGTTGAGAGTATAAGCTTTTGAGCTAGGCTGCCTAGGTTTGGTTCTTTTTTATACTTTCTGCTTCTCAGTTGAGATTTCCCATCTTTTTATTCATTACAATTGTATTTTTCTTCACTGAAGTAAACGTATAATTATAATATCTGCTTTAAAATTCTTGCCTGGTAGTTTCAACATCTGGGTACCTTGGACTTGACATGTCACATTTTCCTGATTCTGCATATGTCAGGTAAATTTTGGATTGTATCCTGGACATTGTGATGTTATGTCCTGGAGACTGGATTCTGTTAGATTGCTCTAAAGAGTGTTGGTGTTTTTATTTTAGCAGGCAGTCAACTTGGTTAGACTCAGACTGCAGATTGTTACACCTGCATTGGGCAGTGGCTCAGCTCTTGGATTAGTTTTTGGTCAGAAGCTATTCGCAGTTTGCCCAATGTGTGTGTGATTCAGGGGTCAGGTAGAAACTTGAGCAAAGTTTAAGTGTGGAACTTGGGGTTTTCCTTCTCTGGTTCTCCTCTTTCTGGGATTCCTTGATTTCTGTCAGCCTGGTTCTTCTTGCCAGAAAGATGGTGGGCTTTCTATTAGTTTCACTTTCCCTCCCCTGCCCCCTGACCTGCTGCTGCCACCAGTGGGTGACTGTAGCCATCCTCAGGGCAAGCCACAAAGAAAAAAGGGGTGGGGGAGGGGATGCGCTGCCTGCCTGCTGTTGTCTGCTCCAACTTTCAAAGCCCCACCGAAATCTGCCTGCCTTTTTCAGTCTGCTGAGCCCGCGGGAAGTTGTTTCTGTGTGTTTTGTCCAGTGTGGGTGGCTATTTGCAGGAGGATTAGTCTGTTAGGCACTTACTAGATGTGGACCTCTGATTGCCTGGGTTTGAATCCCAGTTTCATCGTTTATTAGCTTTGTGCCTTAGACAAATTATTTAACTTCTCTATGTCATAGTTTCCTTATATGTCAAATGGTGGGACATTGAATTTGATATTAAGCTGCAATACAAAGAAATTAAGTGACCACAGCCTGTTATGGTAACCACTGTGCTTTCCTGTCTCCCAATGCCATTGTGGTTCCCAATCCATTGTATGCTTTTGTTTTCTTTCTCTCTCTCTGTCCCACCCCATCCCCCTCTCTAGAAGTTTCTAGAATCTTTAGTCTCACTGTTTGGAAACTTTGTGTTGTTGAACCATGATATGGATGTTTTTTCAGTCATTATGCTGGGCACTCAGCAGGTATCTTTGATCTGGAATTACATATATTTCAGTTCCAAGAAACTTTATTATATTATTTATTTGATAATTTCTTCCCCTCCATTTTCTATGTTTGTTCTTTTTATAACATCCTATAAGTAGGATTAGTTTTCTAATTTTCCAAAATTTTTTTGCCCATTTTCCACCTTTTAATCTTTCTTACTGTACTTCCTGATAGACTCCCTTTTCTTCATCTTCTAATCCTTCTATTGAGGTTTTTTTCCTGCAATTCTGTTCTAAACTTTCTGGAGCTTACTTTTTCCTTATTTATAAAAAAAGAATACTTCTTTTTTAAATACTCTCCTGTTCTTGTTTCAGGGATATTTTATCCTTGCAGTGTTTTTATTTCGTATAATATTTTATCTAAAGATATAACTTTAAAAAGTTTACTTCTGCTCCCTACATTATTTCCTCCAATTTGTTTTTGTTTGTTTTGGTCTCTCTTTCATATTAGTGACTTTGCTCAAATGTCTGGAGTTCATATTTAGGAGTCAGGTGCTAAAGGGCTGATGGGAGCTCTGTGAGCCAGGATGGGCGAGGATCCAGCCATTCATCGGGGAATTCTCATATATCAGTGTCTGTAGGGTTTTTAACTTGG